TTTCGGTTGATTTAGTCACAACTTTTAAAGTTTGGAATCTTCACTATCATGTGTTGCGTTTATAAATAAACCTTTGCTTTACCAATCTGTTTTCAGGTGCATTATGAATCCTGAAAGTTTTTTTTTAAAAAAAATAATATATAAGCAAAATTAAAGCAGTACAGTAATAATATTTGCCAAATATCTTTTATCGTATTCCTAGTCTGGGTACCCCACTGTTCGAAAGTGAACATACAGGGATATTGACTTCATCTTTACATTAAAAAAAATTGACTAAATTAATTTAATATTTTGTATTAAATTGCGACTTTTTTATAATAGCAATAAGTCGTAAATCATCAAGTTATTTTAGCAAAACTAAAATGCCACACAAGCAGGCTCGAATTGGTTCGCAAAAATTTATTTCGGGATGCTCCAATCATGAAAAACGCTCTGGAAGCGATTCCCCTCATGAGAAATGATTTGAATGAAGAGAATTCCACGCTCCGGGAGTGATGGTTCCTGAATTATTGTATCAAAGAAGAGATATTAAGTTTTTTTTATTTTTAAAAAAAAAAAAATTTGAAAAATTAAAACAAGCTTTTTTTCTATTTAGGCGAGTTCGATCTGATTCCGTTCTTTTATTTTAAAAGGCAAGGTAAATATTTTTAAATAATCTTAATTAAGAAATTTCTTACACATTTTTTTCTTTTAGGAGATTATTTGTTATAGAAGGTAATAAATAATAATTCTTGTTTTAGTTTTATTTTTGATCAATAAAAAACGTTGAATCTTTGTAAGCCCGTTAAATACGAGCGATTCATATAGCTCGAGATGGGCCGATTCGGCTTACGCAAAGCTCTAAGAATGACAAATCTTTAAATATGTACTGAATTGTTCATACTATGGAACCGTGTTTTTTTTATTTATTATGCAACTGACAGAAGACATACGTCGGATGACTAATGCTGGCCAAAGCTTCTTAAGGCATTATAAGATCAGCCCAAAATAGGCCCATAATTTAGGCCAGTCGGCATCTGACGCAAAATTATATTGATCACGTTAGGTGTCACAAATACACAATCGGTTCTTATTTCCGAAAACCGATATTAAATATTTTCAAAAAATTTGACCCCCGGTTTATAAAACCAGGTTGAATCAATCCGATTTTAAATTTTTACATTTTAGATATATAATCGAATTATGTAAAAATATTTAAAAATTAATTTTTCAGCAAATCGATGATCAAAAAATTCCAAATAATTTTTCTTTATGCTAATCATGCAAACGTGTTATAAGATTAATAGTATTTTTCCCCTTTTCGGTTATAGCCAAATGCAGCTTTATTTGTTCCCGTAAAATTTATTTCACAAATTTTGCAATAAGTAATGTTAGGATTTCCTTTTTCGATCCGAAAAAAAATGCTGTATGACTGCAGTTAGTTCTAATTAAAAATGAACGAAATTCTACTCTTCATTTTTTTTGTACTATTGGTAGTTGTAAGTTTTGTAATTGTTTTCTGTATCAGAAAGTATAACTAAAAAAGTAGATGGGTCCGCCACGCTAATAATGAGAAATAAAACATGAAAAAGAAAAAGAGTGCCAAAAGAGAGAATGATTGTATGGTAAAAGCTCGTGCGAGAAACTAAATATGGATTTTTGTATTAACCTTTAATTATTTTTACTAAATCGAAATCCGGATTTTCCAACCGGTTGCACTCGTCGCTCTAAACTTTGGAACCGGATTCATTCAAAATCGGTTAGACCCGAATTTAAAACCGAATTGTTATTAACCTCTTTCATATGCGTTTATTTATCACGTGATCATAAATTTGAGCGTAAAAAAATTATTTTATAACTAGCTGTAACCCGTTGCTTCGCACCGAGGTCAATGAGTTGGGTTAATTATATATTAATACATCTTTAAATAAAATTTTGATTCGCTTTTATAAGTGATGTTTATTTATTTTCACCCTTAATTAAAACAAAAGTTAGATTATATAAAGTAAATAAATAAAGTAAAAATTTAAAAATGATAAAAAAAAAAAAGCCTAAGAAGGGGGTCTGGGGTACCCCCCAGAAAAAAAATTTTTTTTGCATATTAAAAAAATAAGTAATTATATCTACTGTTGACAAAAACAAAATAAAAAAATTTTTCAAGAAAATTTATTATATTAATCTATCATTACAAAAAAAAAAAAAAAAATCATTATAGTGATCTATTATTACGAAAAAAAATACTATTATTTATTAGGATTAGTACAACTGGAAGTTAATTATCATCAGTCAAAGAATTAGTAATCAATATTAAATATGTCACACAAATCGCGTAAACTTTATTTTTGTCATGTGCAACGTTTAATATGTTTTTCCTATTTTTTACTAAATAAAAAAATTTTTTGCATTTTTTTGCATTTCTGTGAATTTCTGGATTAATAATTTACTCAAAGAGAAAAGAAGAAAATTACAAATATATAGTCCAAACCAGTCTTCCATTGCAAGCTAAGAGATGAACCATAGTAAAATCGGATATACTTTTCTTGTAGCCAAAAATGTTTAGTAACCTGATCACCACTACGCTAAAATAGAAAATTTCTTCTCTGAATTTCGTTGAACTAAATAAACGTAACGAAAATTAAGGGTCACACAATTTAAAAATTTATTTATACAAGTATTCTAAACGTTAATGATCTACATGTATTTTTTTATTATTATAGATTTTGTTTCGTCTTGTTAAAGCATTTATGCCATATTCGGGATCAAGTAATTTTAATTCTTTGATAACGTTAATATTGAGAATTGACATCTAGTATTTTACGATCATAGTTTATGGATTTTTTTTATTTCCGAAAAAGGCATTTCCATTATGTGTAATTGTTAAAATAAATCTGTTTTCAAAATGAAAGTTATATAATGGTCAACTATTAATTTTTCTTTTCTTTTTTTTCGATACATCGTATCGTTATGCAAGTTATCAATACTAACCAAGTTCCCGATAATTTTGGTAAGGATTTATTCGATAATTTTGAATGAATGTGAATTAAACGTTAAAACATTTACAAGAAAAAAATCCTGGCAGTCAAGAATTAACAATTATTAGTGAGCAACAAAATTTTTATAATATCGTGAGCAATTTAAATTATATGTTTCTTTACGTTATATATCGAGACATTTAAATTGAAAAAAGAGGCCAGTGTTGTCATAGGATAATTTTGGAGAAATCATAAAAGTTGGAACATAAAAAATGTACAGTACAAATAACTAATCGATAATTTTCCTATACCCATACGTTATCAAAGAGTTTCAGACGACGGATATAAATGACTCAATTATCCTCGTCAATCCATCGACGACGTCTGCGCCAACGAGTGGAATGGAAACTAACA